AATCTAAAGCTTAATGTGAACGTTCCAATAGTCGGTAGTGACATAGTACAAACGACATCTTCTACTCTTGTTGTTCAAAACACAAATTTTAATGAGGATCGAGGGAGCAAACATTTAAGACAATACGGTTAAACAAAAAAAACGCATTTGTGGGTGGCGCATTTACGTCGTAGATGTCTATGGGCTCCGGTAACCACTTAACACCAAGTGGGCTGTGAGCTCGTCCACCCATCAAAGCAATAAAAAAAAAAATAACAAAAAGTTCTCTAGTTTGTGTGAATCAAACTCGGCAACTTATAAAGAGATGATAAACACTCCCAATTATCGTATCAAGCGATTCGTAACAATTTAGCGATCTCAGAAACAAATAAACAGTTTAAAGCATTTATTAGATATTCTCGTGTTGAAATTAAATTTTTACGTTCAATGGTCTTTATTTTTAGCTTTCTATATTGAAAACGATTTTTGTAATCGCAAATCAAAACGCACTTTTATTTCAACGACCGAATGACTTCTCTTCTTTTTCTTCACCTTATCCCACTAGGTGGGGTCGGTACAGCTAATTTTTCTCTTCCATTCTCTTCTGTCAGCCGTCAGCTCAACACTCACTCCTCTGTCTCTCATATCGTCATTCACACACCCCATCCATCAACGACGAATGACTTGAAATTAGTAATTTCGTCAATGATTTATGAAAACTAAGCATGCATTATCTAATAGCCTGCAATAGTATAACTTAATATGCCGCTTAAGCGTGATCAAAACACTACACTATCGTGACCACCAAAATTAGATAGCACAGTGACATACTCAACTGTGACGGATTCGGTGGTGCAGTAACTAGCAGCCCTAACTATTGCGCTCAGACTCGTTTTTTTAGGAAGGATGGATTAATGGTGTCCCCATACCTTTCCAGTTGCACCTGAGACCTTAGAACTCATATCTCAAGGTGGGTAGGTTGTAGATGTCTATGGGCTCAGGTAGCCATTTAACACCAGATGGACTGTGAGCTCGTCCACCCAGCTAAGCAATAAGAAATAAAAATATAAAACAGGACAGGTGAGCGAGCAAAGGCTCAGCCAGGAGGGATGAGGTTTGCTAACAGCTGCAAAGTGGACGGAAAGAGACGTGCTGGGCGAAGAAAAAAGTCATGGCTCCGGAATATCCGGGAGTGGACCCGTATTGCTTCCGTCGAACAGCTGCTCCAGCTGGCTGCTGACAGAAAGGAATACAGGAAGCTAACGGCCAACCTTCAGGATTGAAGAGGCACTGGAAGAAGAAGAAGAAGAACAGCTGCAAGCCGAGGTTCATGCGTTCAATTTAAACATATGTACGAGTAGATAAGTACATAAGTATGTTTATCAGTATCTGGTACTTTTTTTTATGGTATTCTTTATTATAATGAATATCAATGAAGATAAATTCGTGAGGTATAATACCCTATAAGTGACTCTCGTAAACACACACAATTTGAAATTTCTCTCGAAAACCGAAGGAGATACTAACATGTGACGTTGTCCCGAACTGGCTCAATTTTGCTCAGTTTCGAATCAGATGTCTCATGTTGTTTTTTACTTTATATCTGGGTGCATTCCTGAATTCACAGGGAATTTTGCGGTGGTAGTTTCAGCGAAGAACTGCTCTTGCTACGGCAAGTGGCAGCAATTCTCTCAGGCTGAGCCTGTAAGCTTACGTACTGGTCCGCGAGAAATTGAAATAGCCCCTTAAGCTACAAACGATTGGGTAGGGACAAAATAAATTGATTCCAGTATTAATTTTGGTAAAAAGCAATGCGTTCTCAAAGCGTCCAGAAAAATCTGTCAATACTAACTGCCTAGAAAGAAGGTAAACAGGTTTGTATGTTCCTAACATGCTATCGAAGTCTTCAGTCCATCCGTGATCATGGCGCTTGCAACAGCGCCGAAATATCGGGAACTTATGAAATGCGAAAACCTATGTAATTGTTAAAGATAATATCACTCCGCATCAGTCATGTGGAAAACATTGCCTGTCAGAGTTTGTTAATAACAACGCAATGGTTAGTCACGCGCGGTTTTGTTTTCTGAACTATTAATTAAATGTAGTTTCTACTTGGTATTCTCACTGCGTAAATTAACATTATGAAACAAAAAAATATATTTTTCTTATTTATTTATTACATAGACAAGTTCATGTTACCATCATGGTCATGATAGATACTACTACCCAGGCTATTTCTGCCGTAAAGCAGTAATGCGATTCGGTTTGAAATGTATGGCAGCCGTTGTACTTTTAAAACGGAACTGATTTCCTGACTTAGAACTGATTTCTCAAGGTGTGTGGCGGTATTTACTTTGTTGATGTCTATGGGCTCCAGTAACCACTTAACACCACGTGAGCAGTCAGTTCAACCACCCAACTAATAAAAAAAAAGCGACCACGGCCTAGTGCTCCCCGAAGTTTATCATTAATTGTATTGCATAGCGAATTATCCAGTGAGGTAGAGGTACTTACGTGTGTGACCCAAAATTTTTGTGTACTAATATTAGGTACTTTTTCCTCTTTCCTTGGAAAAATCTGTACCCGGTTGAAAAATTTGGACACCGGTGCCGGGGTGTCGCTCGATAAAATTTCACCAGGTGTATTATTATTCTGGTCACGACGACTTATTGTTTTACAAAAATGCAATAAAATTACACGACATTCATATTGGGTTCTAAACCGCAAATCGCAGAATAGTTTAATCATTATCACTGGGTCATTTGTTTTCATGTCTCAACGCTCAACTAAAGGCATGAGTTCAGATTCATTCACCAGGCAGCTGCTCTTGAATTGTTAGGTCTCCTGTGGGGGCGCTCGGGCATTTGTTAGCCAATCCTACCCCTGTTGCCCGAGCCTTTACTTGTCCACTTGTCCTGGTAAAACTGGAAAGGCCTATAGACCAACAGTAATCCCTCATTCATAAAAAAAAGTATGAGTTCAAACCCTCAATAATTCTTGTAATATTTAATGGCTTATTTCAAAATCACGATTACTTCGAAAAAGAAATAAACAGGATCTATCCGCAACTGCCACATTACTAAAATATATAATATGAATGGAAATAATGGGCCACTATTTCCATTCTATTTCACACGAAAAGGTTCTTTTACAACATATATCTTTACTGCATAATACGAGCTGGTAACAAACCGACGCTCCATGCCTGATATTGACACGGGGTTAAAGCTTTGTAACCGCAAATGCGGTACAGAATATGAAATGCTCAAAATCTATATGATTCGTGAATATGGTATCAGTTATGTTACATAATGCCTTATAATATTATATTTTTGTTTGTTTTGAATTAGACAAAACAATGAACCAGTGACATTTGCGAAAATGCTAATCGACTATAGAACCGCTAATTTAAATAATCATATCCATTAAAATCTTCCCGTGATTTTGGCACTAGCAAGGGCCCTTAAATATCGGGTACGCCTTCAATATGAAAATCGTGACAAGAACCCTTTAAATAATAGTGTGACCAATCATATCAATTAAGATAAATTTAAAACAAGAAAGCTCCATGGATAATGCTCTGAATTGTTTGTCATTTCCATTTTACTATTGCACAATTCCACACGGGAGTAGAGTCTACTCACACTACCTGAAAAACCCATATTCATCTATGACCTGGAAGCCTAACGTTGAGCGACAAAGGGTTTTAGTCGTTTTTTTTTATTGATTAGATGGGTGGACGAGCTCACAGCCCACCTGGTATTAAGTGGTTACTGGAGTCCATAGACATCTACGACGTAAATGCACCACCCACCTTGAGATATAACTTCTAAGGTCTCAAGTATAATTACAATGGCTGCCCCACCCTTCAAACCGAAACACATTACTGCTCAACGGCAGAAACAGGCAGGGTGGTGGTACCTGTCCGTGCGGACTCACAAGAGGTCCTACCACCAGTAATTACGCAAATTATAATTTTGCGGGTTTGATTTTTATTACACGATGTTATTCCTTCGCCGTGGAAGTCAATCGTGAACAGTCAAGTACGTATTTCATTAGAAAAATTGGTACCCACCTGCGGGATTCGAACACCGGTACATTGCAAGATACGAATGTACCGAACGTCTTATCTTTTAGACCACGATGACGACAAACGGTGACATTACCCGATTTAATAGTCGGTCGCAGTCAGTATCTCTCTTAAAGAAATTTGGAATGACTGTACTTGTTTTTGGAATGTAAATAATTGATTGCTATGCAAATTATTTCTGTAGTAGCACCCTTTTCTAAATAGTGAAAGAATTTAGTTGATGGTATTAGCAACTCTTAAAACGGCCACAGAGTCTTTTGTTTCTTTTAAACATAAAATAGGATGTACTTCCAAATTTTTTTGCAGATTCGTGGTAAAATTCTTTTAAAACCACTGGTATGACTGTCACTCTTTTTTCACCCATCAAAGTTCGTATCTATTCCATTTTGTTTTGATTTTGGTCATACTTATCATCACTTAGAGAACATTAACAATACACAGAACCCATCCATCTTAGCTATATCCCACTCGGTTTGTTTCCATCCATATTTCAATTTATTAATCTTCTAGTACCGTGTAGGTCTTACTTTCTCATTACCCGTCGAAACCTTACTAATTTTTCGCCTCTAACATATCATCTTCTCCGATAATAGTATTGGTTTTTGGGACAGTCATATTCTTGGGTTCATGTTTTACTCGATACATTCATCTAGCTGATCCGGCCTACAGTTGTAGAGTGGCATTAAAATAGTACTAAAAATAATGTGGTTCGTTTTCCAACCGAAGCTCATCGTAAAATAATCCAAAAAGAGCAAGGAGGGCTTATCATATAGGTTCCACAAACAAACCTAATCATGTCTGAACTATTATTATCTATTGAAAAGAAACAGTCATAATATATCAAAGACCTAAAGAGCTTTGTGTCCTTTTCAACTAAAACCAAAAACAAACGTAAGAGATATGCATAAATTATATTTCATTTTTATTGCAGGTACAAAAAACACTGACTTCGTTTTAAAGGATTAGGTAAGTAAATCTATACATTTTATTTTATCACTTTTTTATTAGTTTTTTTTAAGTTAAGATTGGCGCAATAGTTGCTATTCAACACAATAGTGTTGAATATAATAATAATATGATTATTGGTTATATAGATAACACGTACACGGCATTGCCAGAAGTATTAATATGTATTAGATTCTGTTTGTCAATTTGAACTTGAGAAACATTTGCTAATAGGTAAGAAAGAAGTTAAAGCGAACCCTACTTGCAGTATACCCTGAAATTGGTTTTGTAGGAAAATAGAAATGCTTTAAATACGAAGGGGAGAGATCGAAGATATCCAATCTTCTTGTATTAGTCGAATAACTAATTTTATGAAGACAATCGATAGTTTAATATTCATTTTGTTTAGTCGGTAAACTAAAGCAAAATTGTAAAATTGTCAATGAATAATTTATTATCCTTTCCAACCACGTCGTCGAGATCCATCGTCGTCGTAATCTTCTCCCATGTAAAGTTTGTGCATTTCCTCTTTACTTTTCGCTTTTCTTAAATAATATATACAGTTATAGCCTTCGCCATTATAGAAAATGATATCTGTAAAAACGAAATTTTATATAAAAGTAGGTTCAAACTATATACTTAGCAGAAACAAGTATTTTTACAGATAAATAGCCAATGTTCTTTCTGTCTTTCTTAGCTTGTAATACAAATTTTGGATACCAAAAATAGGGACTTTGATAGCAATAAGATTAAGGAGTGAGGCTCTCTATGTTTGTTTCGATTATGATAATATTTTGACCAGACTCTAGCAGACACCTAATTTCCTTCTAAAAATACACCTATTCATGATGTCCAAGTTTAATTGAGTGCTAAAATATCAAATCATCGTCACTGATAAGGGGTGGTGGTGTAATGAAAGTGCACAGAAAACCCTCAAACACATGCAACTTGCACTGCACATTTGCAACTTGCACTCGCAACGCCATTAGCATTAAATAATGGGATAATCGTAACACAATGCATTTAAAAATTCTACCTAATGTTTTTAATTGGGGTGAGTCACGTTGCAATCTCTATGGCCTTTGGTAATTACACGTCATTAAGGATCCTCTCGATTCATTAACCGTGCTTTTAGGTACCTCAAGCACTGGTCATCGTCCTCGCCGAATCCGTCGCTTGCGACGAAGGGCTGGGCGAGTAAATTAACCCATAGATACAGTTTCACAGTGTGTCGCGTTTTCGATCCGGTGGTAGATTCTGCAAAGCACTGCTCTTTCTAGGGCCAGTGCTAGCAACATCTCCGGCTTGAGCCCCGAGAGCTCACCTACACGCTAGGGTAACGCTAATATAGCCTCTCAAGGCTATCAGCATATATAGGAAAAAAAAACAGATGAAAATTTAACATGACGATATTTTTCTTACTTTGCGTACGGCGATGAAAATTTATTGATTTGAGTTGTTTTAATTCATTCTATAATATGCAAATTATATGGAAAACGAAACTAACCGTTTTTGTAATCAGTCCCGTATATCCCGTAGCCTTTTTTAACTCTGTAATAACAGTTCTGCAATTCGATTTCACACGGTCCGTAATAATCATCGTAGTACCCCGATTTCAGATTATAGCCGCACACGGGATAATGGTCCGTTCTGAAAACACGTATAAGGTAGAATGTTGCTTGCAACGATTTCAATATGTTCATGATGGTAGTTTAATATATTTTTCAAACTTCAGGATGGATCAGTTAAACCAAAGTTTGTTTTAAATAGTTATAATAGTACCCACCTTTGTGGCTCAGAACAGGCATCAGTAAAATTATACTTTATTGATCTATTTTGATCGTACCTTGTGATTGATTATACTCATACATTTATTGCATATAAAATTAGGTAGATGCTTTATTGACTTTATTCGTATTTTATAAATATCCTTTCTCGTGTCACATATGACGTCACTCTTACGTCTTCTTCGAGTTGAGTACGTATATGGCTGCTTTGAGCTTGTGGCCACGAATTATAATTAGAGTACTCGATGCGTTTTGTGTAATACCTATATCATATCTTTTGTCGTATCACTCTTGTCAGAACAGTCGTGATCGTCATTTAGTATCATTAAGAAGATGTTATGTGTCTCACGAGCAACATACATACATACATACATATATATTTGAATAAATAAAAATTGGAAAGAATTTAAAGAATTGGATTGTTGTATCCGATATTAATATTGAATTTGGTTTGTAATCCTATTAATACTGATGATATATGTATATATATATTTTATTGCTTAGATGGGTGGACGAGCTCACAGCCCACTTGGTGTTAAGCGGTTACTGTAGCCCATAGACATATACAACGTAAATGTGCCACCCACCTTGAGATTTAAGTTCTAAGATCTCAGTATAGTTACAACGGCTGCCCCACCCTTCAAACCGAAACGCAATTTCACGGCAGAAATAGGCGGGGTGGTCGTACCTACCCGTGCGGACTCACAAGAGGTCCTACCACCAGTAAAAGTCTCTAAAAGTCATCTATCACTCAAATAAGTTCAATAACCTTACCTATGCCTCACACACCGGATATTTTGTCCATAGCAATCGTTATACAAATCTCGTAAGTTCTGAGGTAGGACATCATAATCCACCCCTTCAAAGACGTATCTATTGAACAGCGTTGTCTCGATGATGTCCGGTGCAACCGTGGTCGTGGTAATTATTGTTGTGGTAAAGTTGTAATCTGTCGCAGTCGTTTCATTTGATGTTGTGCTCTCGAATATAGGCGTGGTGGTAGACGAAGAAGCGGCATCTGGAAATACGTTACGTTATATTTATTTGGATTTTTAATAGGAATTTTTTTGATGTGAAACATCTATAGCCGCACGTAAAACCGATTTCTGGCGTGGCGACGCATGCCGTGGCGACGCGTCGCCACGCTATATGATAGTTTAAACATACAGTCTATATGCAGTAGTGTGTACGGTGTGGCGACGCGTCGACATGCGCAATCGACTGTGCGATTCTCTCTGTGTTTTACTTGAAAACAAATTATTTTTTCGTAATATTTTATTTTATCATTATGACATATTTAGTTCCTATAACAATCTGCTATTTTCCGCATATTACTTTTACAAAATAATGTCGATGTTTCACATCTGCCAGGCGTCCTGTGACGGCTCACATTTTTTTTTGTTGCTTATGTGGGTGAACGATCTCACAGTCCACCTGGTATTAATTGGTTACTGGAGCCCATAGACATCTACAACGTAAATGCGCCACCCACCTTGAGATATAAATTCTAAGGTCTCAGTATAGTTACAACGGCTGCCTCACCCTTCAAACCGAAACGCATTACTGCTTCACGGCAGAAATAGGCAGGGCGGTGGTACCTACCCGTGCGGACTCACAAGAGGTCCTACCACCAGTAAATACCAAGACATGTCCATATGGATTGGTATTTCTTCTTTTTTTTACTCATTTGAACATTTGGCGATGTGGTCGTGGTCATCATTTTGGATGCGCTTCACAATACGCCGTCATTCCTCACGCACCGCGGCCTTTCTTGTGCACTCGTGAGTCCATCGTAACGGTAATCTGCCGCGCGGTCTTGTACCCACAATCATGTCTTGCACTACAAGACGCCCGACTGAATCGTCACCTTGCCACGAAATATGTACAAAGAAAGTGATAATGTGACCTTGAACGATGTAGGATAATCGTTTAGGATAGGATTGGTAATACCGTATTGAAAATCAGGAAAGTCTAATAGATGTGAAACATCCATTATCTTTTACATCTATTAGATTGTCCTGATCTCCTGTTCTCAAGGTGCTATTTTCACCAGTAACATTACAGAAGCTAATAAAGGTATTTTGATAATTTAGGCATTAGAATATTTTATTGTAAACATTTCGAGACCGAAACACGTTACTACATAAAATTATGATTTTGACAAAAAGAAAATAAGGATATTCATCAAAGCAAATGATACCATGAGGATGAAGTTCAAAAGTTAAAATGAAGACTAAAGGCGAAAGATACAAAATGAAATTTGTACAAGTTTATGGTAGACGCGTAGAATCCCTCAGCTCTCATTCCAACATGATTCACAATTAACACTAATTAAACTAAGCAAAGGCGTCGACACACAACTATATGCAAAACAAGATAATTTACAATTTTGTAAATTCGTGAAAATAAATTTTAAGCAAACACAACTCCGCGGTTTTTCTCGTTCTTAATGGTTGCCTCAAAGGTATTTTCCATATTTTGTAAAATAAAGGAAAATTTCTCTTTTTAGTGTACTTATATTATATTATTTGAGATCGCGTCTCCCTGTTTTGTGGCCTCAATATATATCAGGACTATTCCAGGTTACTGGGCTTTCTTGTAATCCGTTCAATGATGGTCCACTGATTTTAGATCATGGATGGAAGCGTACAGTGTTCAGAAATAGTACAATGAAAATAATAAACGCAACATCAAACCGCAAAAGTAGTTTTGATATAATACTTCGCCACACAAAGAAAATGGATCGCTTAGAAAAGCGCGGACTTAGAACGAGAAATCCTAATGTAATTTAAAGATATAATTTCAATGGCACCAAAATCAAAAGGCACTCTTCATAAACCCAATCATTTTGGACACAAACTTAGGGACTATCGAACTATTAAGACAGACAGAGTAGACATAGTAAAAATAATCTAGTCTAAAACATTTATCCACAAAAAGGTAACAAACAAACCTTACTTACTCTTTAAAAGCACGATGAATAATAAAGACAAACAATGTCTCATCTCGACGAGTCACTCCGAGACACACGGCAGTCTCCGCCTGAATGTTTCTTAATTAAAAATAGTCAATTATCTCATAATGAAGTGCTAAATGGAGTCATTACGAAGTTTTTAATTGAATTTCGCTAAAGTTATTTTTTATGAGGATTTGCTTGACGTATATTAATTTTGTTTCATAAACGTTATTTGTACGTAAGTTCTAAAGATTTCAGAGATCTAAATGGGACCTTATGGCACCAACACAAGATTCATTTAGGAAATCTAAATGTCGAAATTAAAAAATAATAATAAGATAATAATAATAATAATAATGTAACCCAACTCTAGCTAAGAAATATTATCTAATAATATTCTTTATTTTTGCATAAGATAGACCTAGAGATTTAATTTTGATACTTGGTGATGATATTTTGCTATTTCTATAGTTGCACTTAAATAGGCATTCATAAAATTCAAACTTGATTGAATTAAAAAGGGCGATGAAGTTAAAGTATTAAGTAACAATTTTAAAGTCTGACGCTAGTTTATTATATGTACTCTTCGATAAGATTATAAGATTCAAAATAAATTAACGGACCCAGTACTTAGTATTTATTATATTATTTTTAGTACAGTATTTGTTTTCTAACACAAATGTGTACTTAATATGTATATTTCTCATTAAATCAGACTTCATAGAAAGATCAGAAAAATTAAAGAACACATATTCCATTCATGCATCTCATTAATCTATGTAATCATATATTTATACATTAATAAGTGAAGCAAAAACTTTGTATCCCTTTTTACGAAAATTGCGCGGACGGAGGAGTATGAAATTTCCCACACTTATAGAGAAGAAGTGCACAATGCTAATATTTTTTTTAAATAAGGCATAAAAGATACATTAAATCAATAAAGAAAACATTACACACACTACATACCATGTATTTGACACACACACACACATATACTCTTTGTTTATTGTCAAACTTTTGTTATTGCTTAAAGTCTGTAGTCAAATTGAGAATAGGTTAGTATTGGACCATAATAAGGTTGAAACTTAGTTTCAATTAATTATAGTCGAATTTCGACTACTGCGGGACCTTTAGTATACATTAGTTGCATGCTAATACACATGTAAACATGTAAACACAATATTATATCTGGGGTCAAAATTATGTGGATCGGAACCTTCTATTTCTTTAATATAATTGACAAAAAATCTAACAGTAGGCTTTTAAAATGTTGACCATATTAATCCGCGGCGAAGTTAAATGATATTGTATTAAAAGTTGATTGGAGGATAACTAATTCAGACACTGTTAACCAGCAAAATGAAAAGATTGGTTTAACAGCGGAAGGACTATAATTGTCAATCTATGCTCGCTGACTTGTTTCTGCGAGATAAGAAGTTTTGGACGTGGTAATTCATTTCATTGTCACTTCGATTCAACTACAAGACATGCCGAGCACTTCAACATAGCATCGTATAGTGAATGCAAATCTTTTTCTATTGCTAAGATAGGTAAGATAGTGCTCTGAGGAATTATTCGAGATGATACCGGCATCTCGTTTTTACCATCGCACCGCCCGCCACCGGAGTAGAGTTCATCCATACTACCTGAAGCCACTGCGGTCATCCACAGTGCGTTTCCAGAGATCTTTTTTGCCACGAACCATCCGACTATGGAATGAGCTCCCCTCCACGGTGTTTCCCGAGCGCTATGACATGTCCTTCTTCAAACGAGGCTTGTGGAGAGTATTGAGCGGTAGGCAGCGGCTTGGCTCTGCCCCTGGCATTGCTGAAGTCCATGGGCGACGGTAACCACTCATCATCAGGTGGGTCGTATGCTCGTATGCCTACAAGGGCAATAAAAAAAAAAAGTTGCACGAGCTCACGGCCCATTTCGTGTTAAGTGGTCACCGGAGCCCCGGGACATTAATAACGTAACTGCCGCCACCCACCTTGGGACAAGAGTTCTAAGCCTCAATTTTTGACAATGCTACCGCTACCTCGTCCTTTAAACCGAAACGCATTACTGCTTCATGGTAGAAATAGGAAGGTAGTGCTACCTACCCATGCAGGCTCAGAAGATACCTGAATTCCAATAGCAGTTTTCCTATCCAATCTTCTCGTTTATTCTTTTAACCCTTTATACTCGATAGGTGATGATTACCACTTATTTTGATGAGCGAAAGTCACTTCTCCGAATGCAAAATGTTAATAGTTATCTTAAGAGCATAATTGAGGCCGTCAGCGCAAAAGTGGCCTAACCAACAATTTTTCAAGCTTATATGTATACTGGAATTAATTTAAAATATAATGAATTTTGATGCAAAACCGGCCTTACTTACCCATAGATAACAGATAGATTTGTAAACATTATTTTTGCGCGTATTGTTTTTTTGCCTACTCAAATTCAGATTCATGAAAATTCAAACCTAATTGTCTCTATACTAACTATGGTAAGCTTAGGCCACTTTTGCGCTGACGGCCTCAATTATGGGTAGTATTCCAGAATGTATTTTTTTAAGAAAAGAAATCCCAGAGTCACAAAGTATTATTCGCGTAATGCAACTACAAAAAATATATAAATAAAACATCATTAACAAATAAATTGCAAAAAACTATCGCTCTTAGTCGCAATTGGTACTTGGCCAAACATTTTAATATTTTTGTTGCTGCCAATCGGGTTACATGTCAAATATTTTGCATTTAATGAAACAAGTAATATACATTACTGTTCCCATCAAAAATATCTATTTCGCGGCTGAAAACTCGAATAAAGGTCTCGAATAAAATCGATACACATTAGTGGTATTTGTGTCATAGAACTGATTTTTGAGCGATTGTAAAACAAGAAGGAATACGTGTTTGACTGTACGAATTATTTTATGTATTGTCTCTATCGCTGTCTCTATCCCTAGTCTCTGTCTGAAAGGATATACTCTCGGAATGTTCTCTCTAGAAGTCCGTTTCCCATAAATATTTTTTAATATAATAAATTATATAGAAAATAAATCATAAAGAAATAACTTGAGGATTAATTTGGGGCCGAACGACAGTGCGTGATTTGTTTCAAGTTATTTCTTTATTATTTATTTTGAATTCAGAGGATTATACTGGATAACTAATTATATTAAAAAAATATATATGGGAAACCGACTTCTAGAGAGAACATTCCGAGAGTATTTCCTTTCAGACATAATCCTCCTTGACCCAGAACTAGAACTCATATCTCAAGGTGGGTGGCGGCGTTTTACGTTGTATGTGTCTATGGGCTCCGGTAACCACTTAACATAAAGTGGGCCGTGAGCTCGTCCACCCATCTAAGCAATAAAAAAACGCAATGTTCATCACACGAATATTTTCCCGATGTGGTAATCGAACCCACGACCCTCTGCGTAACAGTCAGTAGCGCTAATTACTGTACCATTGAACCAGTCAGAATTCTTTTCATATTTTCCAGATGTTTTAAAGTAATTAGTTCGCAAGTGCAACGGTGTTAGCTGTTGGCATAATATCATGAAACAGTCCAGTGTCTTTCTTAATTTAAGAGCGTTTTAAAGTTTCTTAATAATATAAACTGTAATGTTTAATAAATCTAGGATCTTCATAATGAGGTTCAAATTAAAACATACCTACATACAAAACATACAAAAAAATTTTGGAACGAAGTTCCTTATCGCGCGTTGTGAAAGGGGGCTAGACGGAAAAAATTCTTACGAAAAGTTGTCACGACACTTTTTGCTATAGTAAGCTATTGTAAGCTTTGCGGTGTCGCATGTTTCTCTGTCTGTCTGTCTCTCTCTCTGTCTCTCTCTCTCTCTTTCTTCATACCTCGAATAGAACTTTAAATTAATATTTTTACAATTGGGAACTTCGTTCCGGTGTCCCACGACACCACACATCTTTTTTTTTACGATTTCTTTCACGTTTTTAATAAGCACAATAGTTTCACACAATAATTCTACCGCACTACTTAAAGCATCTAACATAGCCGTGACATTCGAATGAAATATTATTACAATGAAAGTCGGCGACAGTTAATAATACTCTGGAAGCCACATCAAATGTTTTTCATGCATCGTTGTCATGTAAACGCGACCCACATTCGCGCGTTTCTGCATTCATCTCGTTGCAACGATTGTGAACACATCGTCGTTTGTACTTCGCATATTTAAATGGCATTGTTATACATAAAGGTTATTTGAATGAGCAATAGCGCTGAATGATTCATTGTTCATTATCCCTGAACGTTATTTTGATGTAAAATCGTACAACCGTTTCCTGAGATTTGAGGTTTTATTTATTTATTCCATAGATGGGTGGACGAACTGACATCCCAGCTGGTGTTAAGTGGTTACTGGAGCCCGTAGGCATCTACAACGTAAATGCCGCCATCCACCTTGAGATATGAGTTCTAAGGTCTCAGTATAGTTACAGCGGCTGCCCCGCCCTTCAAACCGAAACGCATTTATGCGTCACGGCAGAAGTAGGCAGGGTGGGGGTACCTACCCGTGCGGACTCACAAAAGGTAACCACCAGTTGCAATAATAAGGTTGAAACTCCGAAAATTTTTGAAAATCGGCAGTATTGGCATCAGTTATAAACTTATATCTATAATCACATATAATTCGGTTCATTTCGATTACTTTTCAGAAACTCTATTCAAACGTGAAGGAAAACTTCCTTATCTAACCTCAATGCCCACCAAAGAATAAAAATGATGAATTTCTCATATAATTTCTTCGGGTCTCCTTCGCTCTAGTAATTATATTTGATGTCGTCACTTTATTTGTGTCGTCCGATCGAGTCGGAGATTAATCTTGGATTAATCACAGTCAGTTGTTAATTTAGTTGACACAACTCAATTTAGTTGTAAGGATTATCTGTATCCTGACTCTGTTCTTCGGCGGACCGTTGATGAGATTATCCGATAGTAATTGAAACAGGAAGATTATTAAATATACCTTTTTGAAGCTACAATCGCTCTTATCATGATCGATGCTTCGAAAACCTATCAAAAATATTCCAAAGGAGTAATGTGTTTACATCGAATGTATTTTTAAATGAAAAGAAAATCTTTAGAATTTTATTTTACAAAAAATGGCCTTGTGTTCTCAATAAGCACTGCTCTCCAAAACAAAG